GGGGGTGAAGTCTTGGGGGGGCAGTTAGGGGCAGGGGTCCCAGGAGGGGGCAGTCAGGGGACAAGGAGTGGGGGGAGGGTTGGGGGTTCTGAGGGGGGCGGGAAGTAGGTGGGGCAGGAGCGGGGCTAGGGCAGGACAGGGGCGGGGCTCCTCCCGTCCTCTTTTTTGCTTGCTGAAATATGGTAACCCTACAATTACCAAAAAAGGCAATAGGGAAAAATGTAGACAATCTCTAAGGTAGCCACATCCAGACCATTCAAGGCCTTAATTAGGGTAAACAAAAGATTGAACTATACTCAGAAACAAACTGGAAGACACTGGAGAGCAATAGTAAAATGAGCTCACAGTCTTCCCTGCTTAAAAGGCAGGAAAAAACATTTTCCATTAGTCAAAGCTTCGAAGTGTCCTTCAAGAGTGCTCAGCACATACAATAGTAGTGTTGAAGAGAAGAGAAAAATGAATGGAAACTGTAGCAAGGTCTGCATCAGAAAGAAGAGACCACAATTGCTTGGCTAGCCAAAGAACACTCAGAGCTGCTAACCAGAAGCAATGATGGATCTAGTAAAATACTGAGAAATTATGAATTGCTTTGACAATAGACAGGCATACCTCAACAAACACAGCATACAACCCCTGCCAAATCCTCCAGATGCTTCCCCACTACTAACGAGCATCATTTCCATCTTATCTAGACTGACCCTAAGACAATTTGTTCTCATTCATATGCTGGGAAAGTAATAGACTACATAATATAGCTCCAGTGAAAGAAATGCAGAGCTGGAGATTTATGGTGTTTTGATTTGTCAGAACCAGAAGTCTGGAAAATCTGGATACTTTTGGCTAGATGTGACCCTTCGCTAAACACTGGGCATCATCAGTGATAAAACCCTTCAGCCTAAAGCTTTCAAACCACTATAGTTGGCTCCCCTTTTGTTAGGTTTATTTTATAGCAATGAATTTTATTAGAATTTAGAGCAGCTTTTAAATGAAATTATATATTTAAAAATAATATAGGAAAAATACCGAATGAAAGAAGTTTTAAATACAAATTGCCATTTTATACACATATGGAAGAGTTACTATTGGTCTCGTTCCATGTATTTTAAGTCAAGCAGATCAATTTTAAACATCTGCTACTAGTGCTGAGTGTGGCTCTCAAATTTAATACCTTGAATAATGTAATCACAATTAATCATATCACGTAGCAATTGAGCTTTCTAAGGACCCAATCCACCAAAAACATGCACACAGGCTTAAAATTAAGCACAAAAATATCCCATTGACTTCACTGGCACTACTTGCATGTTTTAAGTTAAGCCGGTCTGTAAGTCTTTGTGCGATCACTACCTAAGAGAATCATTTAATATAATATAGCCGTGTCATGTCTCTCCTGCTCTACCACACCCAACTATCCGTGTTTCCACATTTTAATGGAGTAAAAAAAGATATGTAATCAATTTCATAGTAAAATGTAAACATACCTCCTTCAGAAACTGTTCAAACTGCTCATCTAGTTCTGCTTTTGAAAACCGATGAGCCATAGTCAGCAGCTCAAACTTAACTTCCAAAACAGTTCAATTACTGGAAAATACTAAAATTAAAAATAAAAATGCAGTTAATGAAGCAGTGCTTTTGAAATCATAAACAGCCTGGTTATTTCCTACTAGCTTTTCATGCAGGAAATATTAAAAGTTGTCTATCAAGTCTAAACTATACCACGTTTCCCCCAAATACTGTATTTACTGCAAAGGTCCAAGCACCACATCTGAATTGCCTAGATTCCCTAGAACCATAGACTTAAATACCAACAGGACTGATTTAGCCCTTAAACCTTGTGAGGTTAATAAATAGGAATTTCTTCTCATCCTTCATATTCCTCTTCAAAATGTAGATCTTCCACCAACGTTCTCAGGAAGGAAATGTTTCATTTATAACGAAAGGGGAGAAAAACACCATAAACTCAGATTGCATCTATACCATGTATACTTGCACAGTGTTTGATGTATTTTAATTGCTGTCTATGTTTGTTTTCCAAACTATGAACACTCTGGGGCAGGGAGACTTTCTTTATAGTGTGTCCAGCATTGAGCACACTGCTAGAGCATAACAAATAAATAATGATTTAATCCGTGGAAGTCTTTCAGGTTAGCTCTTAAAGACAGAAATTCTGTCTGTTCTGCATTCACACTGAAAAGTCAATAGTGCTTTTTGTGAATGGAGGATTTGTGTTGGTTTTTGAGAGCAAATATTCCCCAGCCTCTCAACATTATGCAGCTTTTAGATATCACTATGCAGACTCAAAGTGGCTGTTTTACAGTGGTGTCATACATAGTTTTGAAGTACTCTGGGATCCTTCAGAACAAGAAGTGATATAATAAATTCAAAATAGATTAAGGGTTTGCAGATAAGTTTTTACTATTAAATATTAACTTTTTCAAGTATAGATCCTTTTCAGAACATAGAACTGTTACCTAACCAGTAAACTGATCTTGACCGGCGAGTTCTGATAACTGTTTCCTGCTTTAACTCTTACTTCATCCAAAGACTACCCAACACTTTGGCAGTACTAAAGAAAATTACTGCAAAGACTGCCCAGTCTTTGAATTAAATAAGATAGCCTTATGTAAGCACTTGGAAAGAGTCTTAAAAAAACACAGTAAGAGGATTAAGAATGTTACCTCTCATGACACACATAATCCAGTATGATTTTATATTTTTACAACAAAGAGTCTTGTGAGCTGTGACATTTTAATGTTACTACCTATGCCAACTGCTTAAGCAAGTGGAGAATATTTATTTGCAAGCTTGATAAGAAAAAATAAGTCCTGATCTTCTTACATTTTACCGTAGTTTCCTGTGCATTACATATATACGCACACGTTTCTTATAAATATTTACATTGCATCTTATACAATTTCATCAGATATTTGATTTTTCAAAAAGTTTTTTTTTAAATCAGTTGACATCCATTTGCCCACAGGTAATGCCAGTTATTAACTAAAATCAAGCACGCGCTTCCTTAAAAGACTTTAGGCAAATTTCTCCCTTAATAAGAAATAACCTTATATTTATGACTTTAATGTAGAAGGATCCCAAAGCGCTTTGCAAACAATATATACACACACAAAATCAAAAAATGCAGCCATTTCTGGACTGGAGGATGGTTGCCTGGCAGCACACTGCATCATTGCAGGAAGGGGAAACTTGGGCTAGAGGATTGTTAAAAACCTTTTTCTCATGGCAAATGCCATAATATTTCTAATATCTCATATTAAAGAAACAAAGAGTACACTTCATAGAACTCAAGTTTATCTTCCCAGGAATGATGGAAAACGGACTTAACCCTGTTGGGATTTGAAGCTGTGATCACAGAATATTAGGGTTAGAAGAGACCTCAGGAGATCATCTAAGAACATAAGAACGGCCGTACCGGGTCAGACCAAAGTTCCATCTAGCCCAGTATCCTGTCTACCAACAGTGGCCAATGCCAGGTGCCCTAGAGGGAGTGGACCAACAGGCAATGATCAAGTGATCTCTCTCCTGCCATCCATCTCCATCCTCTGACAAACAGAGGCTAGGGACACCATTCCTTACCCATCCTGGCTAATAGCCATTAATGGACTTAACCACCATGAATGTATCCAGTTCTCTTTTAAATGCTGTTATAGTCCTAGCCTTCACAACCTCCTCAGGTAAGGAGTTCCACACGTTGACTGTGCACTGCATGAAGAAGAACTTCCTTGTATTTGTTTTAAACCTGCTGCCTATTAATTTCATTTGGTGACCCCTAGTTCTTGTATTATGGGAATAA